GTATACTATTATATTATTTTATTCAAAAAAATTATTTTAAAGTTAAAAGCTTCACAAGATAAAAAAAAGTAAAAATAATTTTGTCGCCCTAATTGGATTATTTAAACATTACATTAAAAACAGGAACTTTTATTAGTAAAGTTCATCATCCGAAAATTGGGGTAAGCTTCAGTCATACTTTCTCCTAATTTATATTAATTTATATAAAATATTTATAAACATGAATATTATGCTGATAAGGTGGCATATTAAATTACCATATTTCTTCTAAAGGCCCGTACTATAGGAACGTGGTCTGTAGTCATTTAACCTGTTACCAGAGGTACCTTTAACCGGTTACCGGAGGTACCTTTAACAGGTTACCAGAGGTACCTCGAGATTCAACGAGATAAGAAAAACCTCTGGTTTTTGGTTAGATGACCAGGTCATTTACCAGGTTATTTGATCCTTGGTTAGCCCGTACTATATGAAACCTACCGAGGTGTATGGGTTAAATTACCTGGGCAAATGACTAGATTCTTGTAGTACCATACTACGACTCGTTCTTATACTACGGGCCCGGGCGGGTTATTTTTGAACCTTATACTAGTGGGTCGGTTTATTAGAAGGGGTCGGTTTAATAGAGAGAGTTCGCTCTATCAGAAGAAATATAGGTAAGTGTCTTTTGCTTCTATTTTGAGCCCAATTTTGTACTTTTATGACCCTCTTGATAAACATTTTGGTCATTTAACCCCTACTGATGTGTATGGGGTTTTTTTGTTTATCCTGATAAAGAAGGGAAGAGGGAGACATCAATGATCAAGCATCAAAAATTAACTGATTACCCCGATAATTATTTTGATTTATGCCAAATAATCCCTTGTATATAAGCTAATTTTTATGTTCAGATGTACCTTTATTTGACAATTTGTTTAATTTATTTAAATATTATTTTTGAAAATTTTTTCGTTTATCCCCGCCTTATAATTACAACCAACAAATTAATTGAAGAAAAACAATTAAATAATAAAAAATTGTTTCAACATACTTCTAGCAAAATGTTGCCTGATGAAGTAAAGAATGAGTTATTTTTAGAGACCAGACCTAGAGGGTTCGAGATCTCGATTTTCGTACTACACTCCCAGTCTCTATTTATTATAGACACTCTCAGTCACAGCATCCGATAGCTTTTTATCCAAAAATCTTCCCATTTTATATCCTCAAAATTATTTTGAGATTAACAAAAATTTTGCTTTATGTCTCTTCTCTTTTTAAAGCAGCTTTCATAGTATTCTTTAAATAAAGTCGACCATCATTAACACTGGGGCTGGGGACTCGGTCCGGTCCGAAAGATCGAGCCGGGCATCGAAATGACCCAAAAAAGTTAGGTCGGACCGGCTCGAGAAAATGACTCGAATGTCGGCCGACTCGAAAACCTCAACCCTACTTAACACACACGTTTGACTGATAATTTTGTGATTTTAATATTGTGAGTGTGATTTAGCCTTATATGTATTAGAGTTAAAAGTTTAACTTGGATTCCCGTGTCTGGGAGATTCACGTGTTGAACTTTGTTTGTATATATCGGTGATTTTATGTCACCAAAATAATCCTTTTGAGATAATGTTAAGATAAAAAGCTGAGGATTTTTATAACATAGATTTGTTGTTTGCCAATTTAAAAATAATTTTTTTATAGAAACAAAGGCAAAAAAATCGTGAAGAATTCTCCAAAAAGGTACAAAACATACCTATAAGGGATGACCATGCTGAAGCGATTTTTCAACATTGTGAGGAATATTTTTTGATAAATTCCCTAAAAATTAATATTTAAGGGGTTGATCAAGCCTACTCTTCGCTTTTCGCTGCGATTGCTAATCAAAGGTATTCATTTATCGATACCGTACCCCTTCAAATACATAATAAATCATAAGTAGCCTAGCACCTCAATTCAGTCTGGACCCTATAACTCATCAAGGAATGGTCACTTTTTCAAGTTCTTGGTACCATTGGATAGAGAATACTAAGAACTACAAAAAATCAAAAAATTAGAAGTTTATACCAATCGATAAAAAAGTTGTGATCTAAAAACCAACTTTTTTAAAAAACGTGATTTTTTGGCACTTTTTCGATCATAACTTTTTTACCAGTTAGTCAAGAATTTTGATTTTCTGGTATTTTGTAGCTTATTTAATGCTTTATCCAATAGTACCAAGAAAATTAAAAATTATCAGCATCTCTAAAGGTTATAGGTCGGGCGACTGAACTCAGCCCAGACTGAAACGAGGTGTACCCCATTAAGAATAGTTAATAAAAATTATGGAGACTCCGATGCATACCGTATTTCTGAAAATAAAACCCCACTAAATTAGAATCTATTCCTGAAATAGAGCCCCATCTGAAGAGTAGTTGAAAAATAGAGCCCCACCGTGAATTAGCACCCCACCATGAAATAGAGCCCCCCTTTGGAGGGTAGTTAGATATAGAACCCTCTAGCTGAATAAGAACCCTACCGTGAAATAGAGCCCCCCTTTGGAGGATAGTGAAAAATAGAGCCCCATGGGGTTCTATTTTCGGAACTACATATATTAAACTATTATTTTTTGGAGCTTAACTTGATTCTAGTGAATTCTCGATGTTTTAAGGGAAATTTTTCCAGAATTCTATAAAATTTTCAAGCCCAAACCAATTAATTTTTAAGACTATAAATTAATTTAAGGCTAAAAACACTAAAAAAGCCAATCCGTGACGATTTTGGCCATTGCTCCAAACACGCAACAAACATACCCTTACATGCAAAATGTCTTTCTGATCTATTTAATGGGAATTTTAAAGGAAAAAATTTTACAAGAAAAGTTGGTTAAGGATGATAAAAAATCATTTAAAAATTTTTGATTCAGAAAAATTCTCGGTTAGAACGGTATCGTGACAGACAATACAATCAACAACGTCAAAATGTTGTTGAAATGAGAAATAAAATATTCCAAAAATTGAGGGATGATCATAATAAAATAATGGTATATTTAACTATAAAATTCCATTAGTTAGCTCTTAGCTTCCCACAAAGTTCGGACCCAATTTATTTTCAAATTAAAACTAAATCTACTAGTATTATTGGCGACCGGCTAATTTCTCCTTGTAGCGGCTCAAAAGCTCATATTCTGTATTTGATATGCTTCAGTGAAAAATTAGCCGGTCGCCACCACCCTACTGAAGACGTTAAGAACCAAATCGTATGGTTCTAGGAAAAAATTTAAGTTGGTGCCTTCAATCTAGTGTGAGATTTTTCGAGATTTAACTCGTTATACAGTAGCACCCAAGGTATAATATTCCTATGAGGAGTTGATTATAGCTGATTTTCTGTTTAAAATTGATAGGAAGTTGGTGTTTATCTTGTAATACAGAAAAACATTCTGACCTTAATGAGTGCCTAGGATTAATAACATAATAGAAGCCCTGGGCTTGAGGCCTAGAATAATCTTTTTGTAATACAGCCAGGATGGAAATGACTAGAGATCGAGCTGGACCTGGACTAAGGCCTGGGGTTTTCCTGTACCCAGAGTCTAGTTCCAGGCATTTTTTGACCTTCCTGGTTTTTCCTGGGTCTGGTTTTTTCCTGAATACAGGCCCAGGATCCAGTTCAGGTCAATAAATCAAACTCCAGAGTCCAGGAACAGGTCCAGGCTTTCCCTCGACTTAATTCAGTCCATAAGATAAATATCATAATGGAAGCTCTGGGTTTCTATTTTATTATGTATATGGGTCTCAATGAGTGGCTATCTATTAGGGAATGAATTCATTTTAAAGATAGTCTTCTCCCAACCATGATATCATTTACTAATCTTTTAATTTAGAACCCTTTCCCCTATCCAATTAAATTTATTAAATCGCTAAATATTTTTTATTAAATTTTTTTAACTTAATTTAATTATAAATTTACATTTAATCCAGTCTGACACCTTAAAAAATAAACGAACTCCAGAAAAGAAAATTTTAACTAATCCAACACAAAACAAGTCAAAAGACCACACAAAGATAGCACCAAAAAATTCAAAAACAAATCAACCGCAAATAATCATGCGAAAAAATTTTTACGGATTACACACAACACACTCAAGGCTAAGCCCTCTAGGAAGGATTGCGCGCGATTTAATGAAAAAAGTTTTGAAAGCAAAAGGAAAGCACGAAAAGGATGTTGTTCCGTTAGTTGAATTTTTAATCCGATTAATGAAGATATAACTGGAAAAAATTTAATTTAGATGGCAAAAAACAGTTGAAAGACTTCGTGATAGTGCTAAACGTAGAAAGGAAATTAAAAAGAATTTTGAGGAGGGGGATAGTCCGGAACTTGGGCATTTGACTTATAGAGGATTGAAAAGGCAAGGAGCATTTGGGGAGGTGGAAGATGATGTGAGTTATTATAATCAGTGTTATCTTTGCTCTAAATCCCTCAGAAACAGTTCATCAAAACTTAAAATCTGAGGGCTGAGGACCTTATTCTAAGAAGCTGAGGGAGGCTCTAGGAAGATGAAGATCTGAGACCTCATTAATCTGAGGACCTTATTCTAGGAAGCTGAGAGCCTACGATCTGAGACCTTATTAATCTGAGGACCTTATTCTAGGAATCTGAAGGACTTAGAACTGAGGCCTTATTAATCTGAGGCAAGACATTCTAGGAAGATGAGGTCCTTAGATCTGGGACCCTATTAATCTGAAGGCCTTATTCTATGAATCTGAGGCCCTTAGACTTTTAGAACCAGGAAGATCATTGATTCAAATTTAGATTTGATAAACCTATAATTTCCGCTAAGTTCCCCATAGTCACATCATCATAACATATCATGAACTGTAGTTGAGCCTGAGCTTCTGAACCGGAACCTGTTTCAATTCTGATAAAAATCTGTCCTATTTTAGCTTAACGAAATCGCCGAGGACCCACAAAAAATTTTCAAATTTCTGGAAAAATTGCGTTCAGAAAAATATACAAAGAAAAAGAAGGAACCTTTCGGCCGTCTTGTTCAGATGTTACGAGAAGGGATTAAATTAGGCTACGCATTAGCTGGACATAATGCTTCAGACATTGATAATAAAACAATGAGAATGGTCTCTCCCAGATTTTTTAGTGTTACAGCTGAGGATGATCCTGAACATAATGATACTGTAATATTTTTAAAAATTATTATGATTAAAATTCTGAGGAATTTTTAAAGGTGGATTTTATTTCTCCCTCACTCTTCTCAATACATTCTGAAGGCAAAGGGATCGAGGCAAGCTATTTAATTAAAACATAAACAACAAGCAATCCTACCGAAATACAAAATAAATTTTCGATTTCATTAATCGAGATTTCCGCCCCAAATAAAGTTAGGAAATCCTATTTTTGGGAGGAAAGTCTGGATCCTTGTCTCTATGTAGTTTCGAAATATAACTAAGTCTGACACACTTTTTTATTAACCTGTGGGTAAACTCAAGACCCTGACCCTAAATTTTATATTATTTGAGTTTGAACTTAACATAGTCTAAACTGGAGGAGGTAGAGGAAATCTTGGAATTGAAATAGAGGAGGTCTTTAATCATACAAATTATCAGAGGATTCGTTGATAAAAAGTCGGGTTCGGATTCAAAAAAGCCGAGATTTGGATATTATGATTCAAATATTTTTGATATTTTCAGAATTTAACAAGCATTCCAAGCATTCTTAACATGATTAGTGGACCTATTGGATTCAGCTCCAAAGACCAACAAATGTGGCTTGATTTGGTTAGATACATTGAAAATTTATTGAAATTTTTATATTATTTGATTAATTAATTATTTTTTAAATTAAAAGATACTCGAAGCTTCGGGTGTTTTGGAGAGTGCAAAAAAGATAGAGGAGGTCTTTGAATCTTAAAATTATCAAAAAATTATCAAAATAAAATTTAAAATGATTAGGAACTAAACGCTACAAGTTCTCTTACAAATTCAACATCTTCAGAATTTATTTTGCCTAAGCAATTTAATACTACTAAATACGAGAAGGAGATACGGACAAAAGATGGAACACCTCTATTTTTTACAAAGGAGAATATAACGTGGATTTATTTGAAATTATATTCAAAATTTTAAAAATGGATAGAGGGGGGGGGGGTTTGAGTTTTTTCACTCTTTTACTACATCCACAGGCTCATAATGATGAATCCTTCCCTCTTCAGCTTGGAAATCTTATTACGGTTGAGGGCCCGATCCGGCCCGGTCTGAAAGATCGAGTCGGGCTCAAATTTTGGCACGAAAAAGACTCTGTCGGCCGGCCCGATAAAAATGGAGAATGAAAAAAATGACTCGAACGTCGGTTCGTGAATTAATAGAGAGGGTTTTTAGCTTCTTTCCTCTTTTACTATCAACAGGCTCATAACAAGGGTCGTTTCCTGAAAATTCTTCGGATATCCGAAACCGAACCGATGAACTGAACCGAAAAATCCTAGGTTCTTCGGTTCGGTTTGGCCAGGAACCGACAACCCTACTCATAACGATAAGCCTTACCTATTCAGCTTTGAAATCTTATTATAAGCTTCCTTCACGTCATTGAGCTAAATTTTCATCAGATCCCTTTATAATATAGAAATTTGAAATTTATTTATAAAAATATTTTTTCCTCCTAGCGATGTCGCCGATGAATCCGGAGTTAAAAAATTCGAGGCTTTTGAATTTTTACAAAATTCAATTAATAAACAACAAGTAACACTTACATGAAAAAAATAATAATCTTTTTTAAGCTAAAAGATATGAATATGACTGGATATACGCTTTTGACTAAAGACCAATTACATATACTTTATGGAAATAATTCTTCTTATGAAGATCCCGTGGTATAATAAATTTTTTAGTCGAATAATTTTATTAAGAATCCATTGTCTTATTAAAAGGACAGTTTGAAATCATGGGATATCATTGAATATTTTGGAATCGGAACTAATATCCGAGGCAAAAATCGCAAAATACCCGGACTATTTTTTGATATTCGGGTGCGCTAAACCTGCTTGAAGCCTTAATTTTCTAAAATACGTTGATATCCTGTAGATATCTCAGAACAAATGTAGGGGTAAAAGTACTAACTAAAAGTGTATACTAACTAGAAAAAAGTAAAATATGCACAGAAAATCGCAAAATATGGGCATATATGCACCGAAAAAGGCCCAAAATATATACTGAACTATGCAAGCCTTCATAAATACTCTGTGGCTCTCAGTATTTTTTAAAATTGAATTCTATCAAGATTAGCAAGTGTAAAGTCCGCTCGAGCTTGCTAGTCTGGCCGTGTTGGCAATACTGACCTCTGGAATGAGCATTTCTAATTTCTAAGCCTTCCATTGATAATGATAATGAATTAATTAGAGACCGTGATTTCTGAAAAGCCTGTGCCTGTATCTGGGTTCCGGTTTGATTTATTGACATGGGCCGGATCCTGGGCCTTGTAGTCTAAAAAATCCAGGCCAAGGAAAAACCTAGGAAGGTCAAAAAATGCCTGGGCCTGGACTCTGGGTACAGGAAAAACACAGGTCTTGATCCAGACCCAGCTCGATCTCTACTTTTCATCCTTGAAAAAATTGTACTTTAATATTTTACTAGTTATTTCAACGCTTTTCTTCGCTCAACAAATCCACATTATTATCACTCATTCAAAATTTCCTGAGTCCAGGAAAAACCCAGGCCCAGGAAAAACCTAGGAAGGTCAAAAAATGCCTGGGCCTGGACTCTGGGTACACGAAAACCCCGGGCCTTGATTCAAACCCAGCTCGATTCTTTAGTATTCATTCTTCAAAAAATTGTAGTTTAATATTTTATTAGTTATTTCAACGCTTTTCATCGCTCAACAAATCAACATTATTATCACTCATTCAAAATGATATTCATAAATTAGCCCAACTTAAATCCTTCAAGATCATGCCTAAAAAATCCAAAAATGGACACAATAGAAGGAAACGTCAATCAATTGTTCTATCCCCTATCAGTTTTTCTCCTTTTATTGAGGTGAGATCAGTTTATAACGGATCTAAGACTTATTTTTAAAGACTTTTATTGTGAATACTGCTGTAGTTCTCTCTCCAATTATATTCTCTCCGTTGGTTCTTTCTCCTGTCGTTTTGGGACCGGTACTTTTACTTCATTAAAAATTATAGTATATTCAATTTAGATTATCCTCTCCCCTACAATGTTTGTGCCACTCATTCTCTCACCACGTGTGTTAGGTCCATTCATCCTATCACCGTCGATATTCGACCCGTTTATACTGGTACGTAAATTTTGGCACTAGTAAAGACTAACTTTGACACCTGACTCTCAATATTCCTTCAAATGCCCCTAACAGGGGTCATTTGCAGTGAGAACTAATACAGGAAGAATACTCGATCGAACATCGAGTCTTAGCCCGATGAAAACTAGGTGCCCGGTTTGATAAAGACGAGGCCCGAAAAAGACTCGAACTTCGATCCGATTCAAAAAATACAACCCATCTTTCTCATACTGTCAGAAGGGAAGCTTGATCGGTCTAGCATTTAGAACTCATTGATTTTGGTTTAGGTGCCACAAGAAGACTAGTGCCAAAAATTTTCTAAATTTCTAAGCTATATATTTTAAAAATTTTTATTTTCAGAGTCCAGTAGCGCTAAACCCCTTCATTCTAAACCCAGGAGCATTCATCCCTTTCGTACTCAGTCCCTTCGTTCTGTCTCCATTTATCCTCTCTCCACAAGTCTTCACTCCCTTAATTCTATCACCACTGGCTTTATCCCCACTGATTTTAACACCAACAGCAGCAACTCCCTTGGTTCTATCACCCTTTGTTTTGTCCCCTATTATCTATTCTCCAGCCTTTTTATCGGCTTTGGTGTTGAGCCCTTATGCACTTTCGCCTGTTATCAACAGCCCTTTGATTGCCTTTTCGGTAATCTTGTCGCCGAGTTATTTGAGTTGAAAGGTATTTTGAATTTTTATAATACATAAGAGCACTTTTTACGGGTAGTGATGGTGGCCCTCTCATATATCACTCACTTTTCAGCACCAAGAGGGTATAAAGAACAAGATCCACTATATGTAGTAGAACCTCATATGCACTAGAGATCGGAACGGATCCGGGACCCGGACTCGTTCTCGGTTTCCGGGTCGCTTTTCCCGATTTTTAGAAGCAACCGAGATGAAACTGGTAACCTGAATTACCGGTTTTCAGCCCGGATCCCTCACGGTCATCTATCAGAACCCGTTTACCGGTTTTCGGACCATGTTCCGGTTTCCGGACCAGGCTAATATGCACCCTCGGGACAAAAGAAACCTTTTTCTTATAATGAGATGTATTTTAAATAGAAGGTATCACTTCGATGAACACCATGTATCTAGAATTTATGATTTTTTATGGGTGGGGATCCCCTAGTCCCAAAATAGGGCATTTAAAAATAGGGTATTCCCTGTTTTTAACATTTGAAATTAAATTTTCCCGGTAATTTCCAATTTCAAAAATCGTGGATCTATGTATTAGTTCAGTCAACTAGACCCCTGGTAAACGCAAGCCACTGCCAAAATAAATTTAAAAAACATATCCAAAATTGGAAGGTTTGAGTGAATAATCTAATAAATTTCAGTAAAGATCGCTGTTGATAACCCAGCAATGATTGAGTGAAAAATAAGAAAAAATAATTTTTTTATTAAATTAATTAATTAATTAATAATTTAGTTGTGTATTTATTTTTAATTATAAAAATTTATCGAATTATTTTTGGAATTTTTTTTCATGGTCCTCTCTGATAAACGCAAAAATTTTTTGGGGTTTATTCAAGGCATGCTATTAAAAATTATATTTTGAGTTATGATGTTAAGTGAATAATTTTTATAATTTTTTTTATATTTTTTTTAGTTTATAGTTTAATTTATTAATAATATTTTTGGTATATACGTAATCGCAAAGGCTTTTTTTTTTGTTTTTAATTTATTTTATTAAAAAAAAATTAAATTAAAGTTCGCTGAAAAATAAGAAAAATTTTTTTGGGTTTATGCAAGGCAGCGTGGATCCAATGCTGCGTCGGAAATCGGAGGAGCCGGAAATCGTAATTTTGACCCACCCCTGGTCACAGGGAAATGGAGTGGAATTGAGGAAGGAAGCCTGACCATGATGTACATCTTAAGAAATCTCTGAGACTCTAGCTAGGGGGCTAGATATCCAAAAAGTACTAAAAAACGATTACTGAACCATTGTAAAGCATATAGCTATTTAATTCCTAAGTCTGTGCAGTATGCTTAGGCGGCGTGGTGTAGGCGGCGTGGTGTAATGCTAACACATCAATCCGGCTACTGAAGATGCTGGATCGCTCCCAGCATCCGATTAACCTTTTGCACTAGCTAAAGGAGAGAAATAGCTATAGCCCAGCTGCTTTACTTTAGTTTATAGTTTAATTTATTAATAATATTTGGTATATTTTTGGTATATACGTAAATGAAAGCCTTTGAAATAGGCATGCTAAAAAGCTTTTTTTTTAAATTTATTTTATTAATAAGTGTAAATATGTATATTTTTTTTATTAATTCATTAATTTTGGAGAGTTAATGAATTAATTGAATAAGCGGAAAGAGCTTGAGTATTAACTTTTGTGTTTTGCGTTTATGGCAATAATTTTGATTTTCACATGTTTTGAGGCATTTAAACAGAGATTAAAGAAATATCCATATAAATAAGTTCATTCTATTCTATGAAAAAATGCAATACATACACATAATTTAATCAAAAAATTTTCTAAAAATCTCCAGTACATTCCTCTCTAATAAATTAATTAATAAGCTGATGCTTAACTCTTAAGAAAATTTATAAACCTTATTTTATCTACCGAAACATTTCCTAAAAATTTTTTATTCAAATTTAAATTAACAGTGTAAGGAATTTAGATAGGCCTGGACCAAGGCCTGGGTTTTTCCTGTACGCAGCGTCCTGGCCCAGGCATTTTTTGACCTCTCTGGGTTTTCCTGGGCCTGGTTTTTCTTGGACTACAGGCCCAGGATTCGGCCCAGGTTAATAAATCAAGCCCGGAACCCCGGAACCGGCGCAGGCTTTTCAAATATTCTGATCTTTAGTAAGGAAGAGAAAGATGAAGCCATTTAAAACGCTTAATAGGCCGGGTTTAATAGCTCTTGCAATTTCTGGAAAAATTAACAATTAAGTCTCACATCAGTCGGTAGAGCACCTTTATATGGTGAGCGAAAGCGACTAGCAATAGCAGCCATTAGGTTAAGGATTACCTCATCAGATTACCTCGATTATTTAGATTACCTTAGAGATTACCTCTCATACTATAGCTAAACAATTTAGAATAAAGCAAAAATTAAAATTTTATAAAAATTTTACAACTAGTATGAAGCTTATTATTATTCTTTTTTTAATCGCAATGATATTGCCCATTATTTCAAAAGCTGAGGAGCTGAATCTGGAATCGAACGATCCATAGTTGGTCTAAGTATAATTAAAAATATATTTTTGGAACTGAGTGAATTTAAGTTTAAATTGTATAAAGTCCGGACCAGTGATGTCAAAGTTCCAGTTCCAGTTCCGGAGCTAATTAGTTCTAGTTCCAGTTCCGGAACTAGAACTACGGAACTAACGATTATCTGGAACTAGTTTGGAACTAGAACTACGGAGCTAGTAAATGCCTGGAGCTAGCTTTGAAACTAGTTCTGGAACTAGTTCTTGGGGGTTGTTACTCGTATGATAAGATTTTTGAGATCGAGATGCAGTAACTTATACAAGAATCGATATCCCGAATAAATTCTCGATCTCGAAAAATTCGATAATCGAGATTTTTCGAGATCGAGAATTCATCGAGATCTCGATTCTCGTACAATCTTTCAGTCTGATCTCTATGTGATCTCTATCTTCTTAGGTCCAGAAAATCGTGAAATATTATATAATGTAGGCCAAACATTTCTAAAAAGGTCCTTAAACAACTGAAAAGGTCAAAATAGTTCGAATAATAGGTCTCACATGTACATAAAAAATCAAAAAAATTTTATCCAAAATGAAGCTAATAATACAGAATTTATGTAAAAATTTTTCCGGCAGTAATAATTTTTATTTGATTTTAGTAAAGATGCTGATTATAAAAATCCGAGCGTGCATCGACCTGTACATCATGGAAGTCCTGTAGCAAGCAAGAAACACACAAACAAAGGCAAAGCAAAACCACCTCACCCGAATTAATTTTAGGATCATGGATTATAAAGCTTTAAAAGAATTTTTCAACCTCAGTTCAAAAGCTAAGGAGGGAAATTTATATTAAATTAAACAAAAGGGATTGTGATTTTTTATTTAAATTTATTTTGTTACAGTAGTCGACAAAAAGATAGGGACAAACGCAAGTGAAATGGAAATCACCTATTTTCTCACCTAAAAATCGATTTCAGGAAAAATTTTTTGTTTGATTAAATACGCCATTCAATCCTCTATTTAATGAGTATAAGATCTGGCGTATTATTATTTTTTGATATACTGAAATAATTGAAATAAAAAAGTACTGCAAATTTTAGCCCGACAAAAAGATAGGGACAAGTCTTGTAACTTATTAGTCACCCAACCAATAAATCTACAAAAATTCGTGCAAACATACTTATCGATACTAAGATAAAATAAAAAAGAACTAGGCCAATATCTCATTTCAATGTCGAGATCTCGATACCCCAAAAATCAACGTAAAACAGGGGTAAGCATCTTCAGAAAATATTTTCGACCCCTTATGGATTTTTTGGAATTTTTATTTTGAGCCTATTCGATAGCTCTTGAAATTTGCTATAAACAAGCCGAATTTCATTTCTCAGAAAAAAATATTTCGTTAGCTGTAGAGGCTAATGTCACAAAAAACAACAAGCGCCCCATAAATTCCTTCATAAACAGCGTTTTGGAGAATCGTCGTCCTTTAACTCTGGAGTGAAATTTTTTTGAAAAATGAAATTTGGCTAGTTTATAGCAAATTTCATGGGCTATCGATTGAGCCTAAAATGAAAAAAATAAAACAATCAATAAGGCGTTGAAAAAAATTTTGAAGTTGCTTACCCCTGTTTTACGTTGATTTTTGGGGTATCGGGATCTTGACAACCAAATGAGATATGGACCTAGTTCTTTTTTATTTCAACTTAGTATCAATCAATATGCTTATACAAATTTTTTCAGATTTTTTGCTTTTATGAAAACTTAGTTACAAGACTTGTCCCTATCTTTTTGTCGCGCTTAAAATAGCATACCTTTTGTTTTTCAATATGGGTTGGATTTCATAAAATATTAATCAGGCAAATTTTCTACTTATTAAATAGAGGATTGAATGGCGTATTTAATCAAACAAAAAATTTTTCCTGAAATCGATTTTTAGGTGAGAAAATAGGTGATTTCCATTTCACTTGCGTTTGTCCCTATCTTTTTGTCGACTACTGTATTTCAAATATTTATGATGCTTTAATAAATTGTTGGTGGGATTATTAAAGATATAATGGAAATTAATCAAGTTCAAGTTAATAAGGCTCGTACTATCGACCCAGTAACAGAAAACATTCTCATAAAAAGTTTTCTTTAGTAGTGAAAAAAGGGGTTAATCTAAAAATTATGTTTGTACCGTAAGAGTTGCCTTTAAATTTAACAAACAAAATTAAATCTTTCAGCTCGAAAAGCTTGAAAACGAACCGAATCGAAAAACTAAGCGCGTAATTAAGGAGAGAGCTTTATCAATCTCTATTAGGGAAATGTCGAGTTAGAACGAATCTTAAGTTAAGTCTCAAGTCAGTAGAACGAACCCTAAGTTAAGTCTCAAGTCAGGTTTAGAGGCTTAGACACATCAACATAAAATAGGCAAAGAGTGCAACTCGTATTACGCATAAAGAACCGGCTCCTAAAGTGATCAAAGCAACGTAAAAAACCATTTTTGGACATCTCATCAAGGCTTACAAAACATG